CTTTGAAATGTCATTTTAAAAAAGGTTCGATTATGGAAAAAGTGAATTTTTCGAGGCTGTGGAAGAAAAGGTGGACAATCTTCCTAGACTTTGCTCTTCCTTTGCACTTTGGTTTGATTGCAAGACAGAATATAGGAGCAGTGTTCCTTCTGCCTCTTGAAGCTATACTGTGTTCCAAATAAGAAGTAAAGATATGTACAGGTAGACATTGGATGCACCTTGTTTTAATGACAGATGTAGATTTCTGGAAACTGCGTGAATCTTTTTGGCCTGGAAATCTTCCCTTTGGAGGAAATACTGGAAGCTGACATTTTAACTGTAGACTGGGATATTTAAAGAGAAAGTCTTGCATTCACAGTTGATAAAGAAAACAGTAAACTTTACTAACGAGCTGTTTGTTTCTAACAGTTGTGATTAAACCTCTTAAATATTTTTATGAATGCAGAATTTTGCTGATTCTCACTAAAACCAAGACAAACTATTGCGAGAAGTCATAAACCAGTTTGAAATGCTAGAAGTTTCCAAGCGCCTCTGTTGTAGTTAAAATACACTCCAAATTCCTCTACCCTTTGCCAATATCAATAAGCAAAAAATTTTGTCTAGCAGGCAGCAGGGTTGGGAGTTGCAGAACAAATGCTGCAGGCAAATAGCCTGATTGTTAACACTACAGAGAGGGGTTAGCAGAGTATCAGGCCAGCATTTCAGAAGAAGTATGACACCCTGGAGTGTAAGACTTTTCTAAGCCTGGTTTTGCATACAATAATCTTGCATTTAACAAAAATGTGACTAAAATTATAATGCAAGTACAAAAATGTGCAGTGTTTTATTTGGGGGGAGGGGGGATTAATTTTAGAAATCATAAGCTAAAGTTAGGTACTTTTATCTTTATAAATAAAAGTGGCCTGATTTAAAAAAAAAAAAAATACCCACCATGTCAATGGCTATACAGAAGCATTAAGAATCATATAAATGTCAGGTCATATTGGTGTAGGCACCTAAATATGGAATCTGTGTGCTAGTGGTTCTTTTTCTGTGGGTTCTACCTGGCTTTTTTCACACGTTAGGACTTTGGTTTGAAATTTTAAATTCCTCAGTGCAGGGCATATGTTTGTGCTGTTTCTGCAGATTGGAACTTCCGAAACAGATGGCATGAAGATTCTGAAGAATCAGACTTGGACACCCTCTCTTAAAAGTCTATGAACACATTATTTAATTATTGTAGTGGAGATGACGGTTGAGTGGGAAAGAAGACTCGGGGGAGTAGAGTCCAGCTTTGCTTCTCTTGCTCCTCCATCCTCCCACACTGCTTACCTTATGTGCTCTTTTACTTATTCTTTTAAACAATTGCTGTATTTTTGCTGCTTCTGGTTCCTTTTTAGTGTAAAATCCAGGGTCCTCTTTTTATTTTCCTTTATTAAATATTTGATTGTATTTTTCAACATTTATTTTACATTCTGAGTTCATTTGATTAGTGAAATATAAAAAAATAATATATTTCATTATGAAGCAACATTTCTTAAAAAAGTAATTTGTGGTGGGATAAAGATGCATTGCACATAATTCTGGGACCTTGGCTTCTTTTTAGTATATTGAAAAACTGAAAGAGAACATGTAGGAATGCTGTACCTCTTTGCCTTCTCCCACAGGCAGTAAAAATGATCAATGCCTGTCATGCTGAGCATGGTGTTTTCCTGTTATAGGAAGATCTTGGACCTGGCTTGTTTCTTACTTCCAGTGACTTAAATAGAAGCTATTGAGGTGTTTCTTTTTCCAGCCTTGGGAAGACCTAAAATCTCCTTGTATTTATAAACTACCCCGGAAAGATTTCAGTGCTGCTGATGCAACTTTTTCTGCCTACTAATCGGTATAGTCAAGGGCAGAAAAACAGCTTGCTTTGGAGAAAAGTTTGAGAGTGTAGGGTAATGAAAACTCTAATGAGAACTTGTTCTCAATTAGCAGCTCTTTTCTTGTGTTATACTTCTCAGACAATTTTTTCAGGGAAAAAAATGGAAGTGGAGATGACTGGTCGGTCAAATACATGCTGAGAACCACTAATAAAAATAAAGTGATCACTCAAGCTCACTCATTTCTATAGCAAGTCAGCAAAGCTGCATCTTTACCATAGCTCTGCCACCCTTTAATTCTTAAAGCATCTTCTATTTCTAGGAAGAGAAGTATTACAATGTATTTCCAAGGAAAAATCAGATTTTAAGTTTGTCCTTTTTCATCTGGTCCACTCCCCTTTGGAATAAGTGGATTCCCAGCAATCTTACAGGAAACTTTGCTTCAGACCCAGCACTAAGTGCTTACTGAGCAACTTCTAATTTAAAAAACCCTCAAAGATCACTCTGTGATGAGATTTACACCAATTTGTCAAGCAAAATGCGTGACAGAAGTTGATGACTATTAGGTGACTTGTCTCCTGCTGCATCTTAGCCTCTTGCAAGGAAGAGAAGAAGGTCACAACATCTGTGTTTTATAAGGTACCCCCTCATAGCTATGAGCTGGGGTGATGTGTTGTCCTAGACTTGAGCAGGATTTATTTCCCTATACTGAGAAAGCTGAGTGAGAATACTCACAGAGAATACAAATCGGTTTTTTCTCTCTGTTGGTTTTTTTTTTTTTTTTTTTTTTTTTTTTTTTTTTTTTTTTTTTTTTTTTTTTGTTATGTTGTTTTGTTTTGCTTTAGCTGAGCTCCAGTAGTCCAAGGCCACCTCCAAGGCTTCCCACTCCCTGAGCTGAATGGCCACAGGCAGCTCATTATCATGACTTGTGTTGCTGTCTCCAGCATTTTAAAAACTCTTCTTCTGTTTCTCTAGCAATAAGAGTGAAGTCATCTGCACTGCGACTCTTAACCCTTTTAAAAAGAATTTCTGTTAAAATATCCGTCAAGAGCCTCAGCATGGGCTGTACGTGCTCTTGCTGTAAAATAAGCATATCACTGAACTTGATGAGTGCCTGGGGAAAACTGCAGTTGCTGCTCTGTGCCATGGAGTCCCTAGCCAGCATGCTCACATGAATTCCCACCCTGGCTTTATTGCGAGAATATTAGGAAACAGAATAGAATATTTCAGCTGGAAGGGACTTAGAGCAATTGTCAATACTTGGAAAGTTGTTTCAATTCTTTCCTTTGCTTTCACCTTCTCTGCTGTCTCTCTCCTTTCTGGCATTTCAACCTGTGAAATTCTTTAGGTTCAGCCTGACACAGACTTGCTGGACAGACTAATGAAGCTGTCTGTGACCTTCAGTGCTGCCCAGAGCAGGACCTCTTTTAAGGTGATGGAATGCTGTTTCCTCTAGTCACCCCTACAGCCCTCCATCCCATTCACAGTGCACCCTGCCAGACACATCTTTTGATTTCATCTTTGATTCATTGTAAATATTGCAGGAATTTAAATAATTCATCCTGGTTTATCCTGAATGGCCAAACATCATTTCTGTGTGACTGGAGTAGGACTTTGTGTGTGTGCAACCAGGCTCTACTGCAAGCAGGCTGCATTGCTGCTGATCTCTCTTGCTTAGCAGTGGGAACAGTGCCCAAGCACAGACATCTTCCAAAACCAGCCACAGCCATCCCCCATGGCTGCTTTGGCAGTATTGAATTCAGTAGCAATGTGGTCCTTGTGCCTTTTGTATTAAATGGAAGTACTGGGCTGCAGCTTAGGCCCGTGGAAACACTACATCTTCTTTCTCTGAGGTTTGCCTATTTCCCTTTAAAGTCTCAGCTTTGAGGTGGTTGATTCATGAGCAGGGAGAGGTTTTTCAGCACTTCAGGAGCATGAATTTAATGTTTGCCAAATCCCAAAGATTGGTGTTGTGGCAAGGATGGCTGAATATTGTGTGGAACTCTTGACCTGTCAACATTTATTAGGTGCAATATTAAAGCAAATTATGGATTCATGCTCATTTAATGTGCAGAGCCAAAGTTTGGAACCAAACTTCTGTACCTCTTTAGTTCCACTAAAATAGGTATTTGGAGTGGAGTAAGATCATCAATGTGCTTTAAAATCTCGGAATGGTTTACAAATTGAGTGCTTTTACCTTGATCTGATGTTTGGAAAACATGAGTGAGATGACTTGTTTTTTTAAAATTATTTTTGGATTTTTTCTGTTGGTGAGAAGATGCAGGTGGCAGGAGATACAGTTGGAGTTCCTTGCTCACTTTCCTACCAACTTCAGCACAAACCAGAGAGGGAGCCTCCTTGACAAGTTAGGATACAATACATTGTTGGTTGTTCGTTAGATGCTTGAAATGAGCATGTATTGGGTAAGGCAGCTGTTAAGAATGATTGACAGTAACAGGCTTGTTTGTCTTTCAAGTGAGAACTTCTACCTTGCTGTTTAATGAGGAGTTTACAATGATATTTAGGTTTTGTGCATAAATTTCAGGAGAGTTTTGTCTTGCATTCTCATGAATATGGATAAATTCAATAAACTGAGAGGAGTATTTTGTCAGTTAAAAGCGTCTTGGGCACCCTTTAAACTGAGGATGTGTGTTCAAGAACTCCAGTTCTTGCTTGTCAAAATTTGAAGCCACTCTGTAACATCTCCTGTTTTATTGTCTACAGAACTGTGAGTATCTTGAGTCTGATTGCCATTCTCTGAACTAACAATCTTTATCAAATCTTCCGCAGTTCTACAGTCACAGAGTTCTTGAGTTTCACCATTTATGCACTGTGGTCTCTTTTTCAGCTTACTTAAGAATGTACTGTTTCACTGCATTTAATTATCTGTCTATTAATATTTACTTTTAAAGCTAATGCACCAATCTGTCCAGAGTCCTGTGGCAAGGGATATCCAGTAGCCAAATTTAGAAGTGGAATATGATTTGTTTGGCTGTTCTGTTCTCAATTTTGCCATTGCACTAGAGAGGAATGGCTGTCTTTCATATTGCATGTGTGGGTTCTTGTCTCAGTCATGAAGCTGAGAGAGCAACATATATGGAGTAACCAAAGCAAAGATTAAACTTACAGATATTTTAGAGTTTTTATTTATTGCAGGTAATCAAAGTCTATAGTGAAGATGATACTAGCAGAGCTTTGGAAGTACCAAGTGATATAACAGCCAGGGATGTGTGTCAGCTCTTGATATTGAAGAACCACTATGTTGATGACCACAGCTGGACTCTGTTTGAACAACTTACCCACACAGGTTTAGGTAAGACTAATAATATATAATGATATCATGGTAAATAAAGTGTTTGGCTTTCATTTTCATTTGGAAGTACAATTCTAATAGAAAGGCTTGCAAACAAAATGATATGAAGTCTTGTGTGAATTTTTTCTTTTTGGGGTTGTTTCTTCTGATTATTTTTGAAAGCAGAGGTATAAACTAGATTTTTTTCATGGTACATTTGCTTCACACTGCTTGATCTGCATCTGTAAAAACGATTTGGAAGACACTAACAGAAAGTTCTCATTGCAAATTCTTCCTTGCTCTACATTGCTTTTCTCTGGCAATTCTTCCTCTTCCTAGAAAGACTTGGGCTATTTTCATTGCAAATAAAATCCTGTTTGTTCCCAATACACCTTTGTGAAATATCTGACATCTGGAACAGAAAGAGGTTACACAGTGCTGCTTTATCTTTACTCTAGGACTTCGTTTGCAGAAATAATATCAGAGTGGGCTGTCAGTATTTTCCTTCACTACCTCCAGTTTGGCTGATTTATGGTGAATCTGTGACAGTGCTACTTTAAAAGGAAAACAAAACCATTCCTCTAAACTTCCACATAGGACCAGTGCTCTGCGTTGAAGCGATGCCATGTGTAGTATTTTAAGTTGCTGATAACAAGATGTTCTGCAGTTCTTTCACATTGTCAGTGTTCCTCTAGAGTAGTAAAACCTCTCTTTTTCTACTATACGGTTCAAAATGTGTAATCTATGGTTTCAAAATACAATGTCTGATCTCTGTTCCTTTTTGAAGTGTATAGGTGTAGTTTTGCAGTACAAAAAACATAAGGCTAATTAATTGTAGGAAGAATGGAGATGTTTGCAGAGATGTAAAAAATGCAGAATACAGGAAAGACTTTCCTTAGCAAGAGAGGAGTTTAGAAGCCACTGCTGGAATGTAATATTGAACTGAATCTCAAGTTAGACAATCTTACTTGCTTTTACAGCTCTGTGTTTCAGTGCTGTATTGTGTATGGATTTGATAGGAAATTATGTTAGAAAAATCTACTAGAAGACAAATGCCAAAGAAATATGGTTATAATTTCGCATCACTCAAAATTTCCATGTTATTCTTGAACTTTGGCACTGTACTAGAGCTAAAAAAGGTAGTACTTCTGCAACTTCAAGGGCAGTTCCATCTGCTAGTGCAAAGTGTGGCTTGAAAAAGAGGATGTTCTGGATGCCTTCCTGCATTCTAAAATATATAGAAAACTCCATGGAGTTCTTAATTCTCAAAAGAGGCTTCATTGGTACCTGGTAACTTCAATGCTTTTGATTAAAAAAAAAAAGTATGGACCACGAACAAAAATCAAACACCCACACAAACATTTTCCCTGGCCACTCCCTCCCTCCCCCTCCAGCTATTTCAACATGGCTAAAAGCTGTTGTTAAGAGTCCCTTTCTCTGCATGTACCAAGAGAATCCGGCCTTGTGCATTTGTTGAAAATAAACTTGACTGTGCATCTCTGACTCCATTATGTTTAACAGCTGTATTTTAAGGATGAACTACAAAAGCTAAAACTATTTTCTGCCCTTTTATACTCCTTTATCCTGTGAAGGCAGACACAAACGTTGTTCAAATTTCTTCTCTTGCTTTATAAGATTTCAAAGATATTTGTAACCTTTTGCACTGAATGTATCAGCTGTAAGATGCTTCCAACTCAGAATAAGGCAAGAGTTAAATCTGGGTCGAGGCTGAAAATGACTGCTAGAAAAGAAGAGGTAGAAAAATGGCTTTAGAAAACAGTACTATATAAACAGCAGAAGTGTTTTCTCTATTTTATATTGTAGCTGGTGTGCAAGTAATGTAGTAAGTATTGAAGAAGACACCTTTGGGAAACCATGCCAGAGCTATAGTGGCACTGTTTTCTCCAGGTTTCTGTATTTGCACAGTACACTTTTTGACTAGTGTGTTTTCTTCAATCTGGAGGATTTCTTGGAAGATTTCAATATCGAGTAATTAGTGAAATTGGTTTTCCTAATATTTTGATATTCTCAAAATTGCTGAAGACCTTCATTCACCATGCAGTCTTGTAATTGCTCCAGCTGCTTTCAATGTAGTTCTAGAAAAAGGTGAATATTTCATTTTAAAATAAATTTCTAGATTATGAGGTTGGCAATTCAACATTGCTGGTCAAGGAAAGGAACAATTTCAGATTATCCTCTACATATTTTTCAAGTACTGAACAATAATGGAGTTATTTTTATTATATTGGTTTAGATCTGGTTTTGTTAGAAAGAATTAACATATTAATCTTGACTTGCATCAAGTATATTCTTAAGCACTGGAAGAGTAGCTTGAACAAATATTTTTCAAATGATGAGTTAGTTTGGCATTGTTTTCTGTTTGTTATTGTTGTATGTTTTACCCATGTAAATTTGGAAAGTCTTTTTTATTTCATAAGTTAAGTGAATCGGTATTGAAAAGAGAGGTGCTGTGAGAAAATGTGTGTGTCTGAGTAAACTCCAGAATGATGTGGATTAATAATTCATCCATCAATTAGTGAACATTTTCTTTAAAATCTAACAGCTGTCTGAATACTCCTGAATTAGATATAATTGCATGAATCTTCATGAGTTGAGCACAGTGTTCTACTTTTAATCAAGACAGACATTAATTACATCACTGGGTTGTGCCTGCATTGCTGTGTGGAGATATCTGCTGTGAAGATTTAAAAAGGAAAAAAACCCAACAAAACTCCCACCTAAAGCAAAGCAGAAACCCACGGTTTCTGTATTTCAGTTCTCACAAATCTATCTGCCTTCGGTGCAGAGCTCTATTGTTGAACACTCAGGATGGTTTTGTCCTCACTGCACCCGGCCCCTGCTGCTGCCTTGCCAGCCAGGAAGCTCAGCCTTCCTCCCCACCACCCAAGTTTTGCAGTAACGGGGATTCTGTTTCAAATATCTATTCAGCTATTCTTGCAGTTCTAGAAATCAATATATTTCAGAACTGTGTCTTTCTGGTATGTGTTCTTTTTTATCCTATTATATTGAATTCAGATACATCTTTGAATGGTTTTCACAATGTCTAGGATCACTGAAAGCAGCTGAAGTGTGCCTAAATTTGGGTGATGCCATATCATCCCTACCACCAAGTACCTTGATGCTGGGAGTCCCATACTTCCACTGCAATTCCCCTCAGCAGGGCAGGCTCTGAAAACAGAACTGTTCTCCATAACTGCTCTCTTTTGTAAGGGAAGAACTATCTTCATCTGGAAATTTTTCCTTTTCTAGTGAGAAATTTTTGTGCTAACTGTAAACAGTTTTCTGTTTGCATCTGCACCTGAACACACAGGTTCTAGGGCTCTTCTTTTGAGGGTAGTGCTTTGGCCAGGAACATCATCAGTGTCTTTCAGTCACATTTTGATTTCAATCTGCATTCTTTCAGGTAGTCTGTGAAGGCTGGGAAGGCTCATAAAGCACTACCTGTGCAATAGTGCTGAGCATTATGTTTCTATTTTTTATTTAGTTTAAATTTTTTCCCCACTGGGTGGCTAGAGAAGAGGATTTTTGAAATGTGTTCTATCGTGTACTCCAATATGAAATCTTTCATGTGCATTAAATACTTTCCATAGTTAAGGAGGCTGTTGTAGACTGTAGCAGGTGCTCCTCATGTTAGAGATAGCAGTAATAAAGAGATAATGGAAAGGGAGGTAGAACCTCTCCAGTCTAGTTGGAAGACAAAAATGTTCTACCTAAACTGAAGGGCAGCTTTTTCATGTCACCATTTAAGGATTTGATTACAAGGCTGTTTTTTGGAGGGCACTCAGTGTTTCAGCTCCTGCAGAGAAGTAAGTTTACTCAGTTATAAAATATTTTTTGCTGTGAGACACCTTAAAAATAAAGAAATATCAGCACCTTTACCCATCCTTTGGGGTGATGCACAATGTCATATTTTTCAACCAAGAAATAAGTCTTGAGGAAATGGTGTTTTCTTAAATGTCACAATGCCAAGCATTTAAGAGTTTTAAATGTCATCTCAGAGGAGCACTTTCTCTCTATAAAACTGAAAGCAAAAAAAATGCTGTTTTTAACTAACAGCTTCAGTTCTTCAATGTCTCTTTGCCCTTGCATCTGAAGAATGTGTTTTGGAGTAGAACAACCTGTACAAAGTTTTAAAATGCTTACTTTCCTTTCACTATTTTTGGGTATTTTTGTTTCCTGAATTCCTTTATGGTTTTATTCACTTCATTTAATCTGGTTATAAAATGGGATTTTCATATAGCATCCTTAATCTTTGAATTTTTGGACTAAAGAATTGGTTAAATTCAGTGAAGAATGAGTTAAATTCAATGGAAGTTTAACTTTGCTCTGCTTTATCTGTAGATCATGAGAGTTCTTTATCTTCTGCTAGTCATGAGCTTGATATTTTCTTTTGCATTTTCTTTTAAATTTTTTTTGTTTTCTTATAGGAAGAGCTATAGAAGACCATGAATTAGTGATAGAAGTCCAGTCAAACTGGGTAATGGAAGAGGAAACCAAACTGTATTTTAGAAAAAATTATGCAAAATATGAGTTTTTTAAAAATCCACTGGTAAGTCCTAACATTATATCTGTGAAGTGGTGCAGTTACTGTTCCTAAAAAAAAGTCTTTTTGTCGCACACAGATAGTCAGAGTTTAAATTTTTAATTGGAACAGGAGTCAAAAGGAATAATCGAGAGGGAATATGTGAAATACAGGAATGTATTGTTGTGAACGTGATCATTGGCTGGTCTCTTTATTACAGTTGTAAAATATCCATGTTAATTTTTTATTTTTGGAGGTGAGGGGAGCAGCAATGGATTTAATTGTATGGAAATTTTCACACGGATGTAAAACAAAATTAGATTTTTGCAACTCAGTGAACTTTTCATCAAGTGACAACATATAAAATGAAGCAGTGTGAGGAGGGGCACCTGTAGCAAAGATGATTTTATTGTTGAAGTGAAAATTGAATGTTCTGGCCCAGCACTGCCCAATTGCAGCTTCTCCCAGCTGTAGCTAAATGATAACTGACACAAAAGGCCATGAGCAGCCATAACCTATTAGGGGTAAGTGAAAGTGAAGCCAAAGTTAGTGCACATAAGGAATGGAAAGAGAGCAGAGATATCTTGTAACTCAGGGATGTTGCCAAAGGTTAATGCTGCTGATTCAGACCTTGCCTGATGGCAAAGGCCACGGAAGCAGTCCTGGTTCAGCAGAAGGAACTTACCATCTGGTTGCTCCATGGTATATTTGGACAACTCCTAATGCTGTCTCTTATAAAGCCACCTTGTTTCAGATGTAAAAGGGAGAAGTAGCAAAATTGTGTGAGGGTTTAAAAGGTAAAGAGTGAAAGGGAACTCGGATTATCTATCTGTGAAAAGGTTAAAAAGGTAAATATAAAATAACAAAAATATAAAAGTTTTGGGATTTTTTTTTGTTTGATTGACCAATGTGTCCCTGGACAAATTTGTCCTAGATATGGAGATATCACTATACCAGTGAAAATTTTTTTGAGCTTGAGATGGTCTACAGTTAGTAAAGAGGCTTTCACAGAATCATAGAATGGGTCAACCTACCTGCTCAAGCAGAGTCTTCCCAGAGCACGTGGCACAGATTGCATCCAGAGGGTTCTTGAATATCTCCATTGAAAGAGATTCCACAACCTTTCTTGGCAATCTGTTCCAGTGTGTGATCACCCATGTAGTAAAGAAGCTCTTCCTCATATATTCAGGTTGGACTTTCTATGCATTGGTTTCTGTCTGTTACCTCCAAGAATTAAGTTTATGCACTGTTTAGCCAGTGAGTGGAACCAGCTGTGGAGCATGGCAGGGCAGCAGCTACACCAGCTTCAGCAGCTATAGCTAAGCAGAGTTCTTCTGGGTGTTCTGGTCCCAGCTATAGCAAGTTATTAATGAGTTAATATAAATTAACCCTAACAGCAGTTCAGTTTCATTAAAAATGGAAATTGCTGGACATTGGGTAGCCAAGGGAGTATTAACTTCAAACTTGCCCAGGCCTTGAGAAAACATTATTTGTCATGGTCAAACCCTTGTCTGGTTCATGTCTGCATGACAGTATTGAACACCCCAGCTACAGGTCTGTTGCATAAATTATCCCTTGAGCTTTCATTGATAATGAAACTGGCATTTTAACCATAGACTTTTAACCCCATCATGTTGATGTAGTCAGAATTTTTTGGTTAATTTATATAATACATAAAATAGAAGATTAAAAAAATATCTGAGACAACTTTTTCTGTGTTAGTGGAAGTTATTCCAAAATATTTTAGTGGGTTTCTAGTGTAATGAAAACAACAGAAAACAATACACTTTTTAACGTGTTGGTGTATGGTCTCCTTACTTTGTAGCATATTGAATCCCCAGGCAAGTCTTGTATGTCAACAGCAATAGAAATTACTTCTAGAAAAACACTAAGGGCCAAATATTGCAATGTGATTTGCATTGGTGTCTGAAACCCTCTTCTAGAGACTATGGATGTTTTGTCAAAATTCTGTGGTTTTTAGCAAATAATATATAACATGTGCCAAATTTTGGGATGATGTTAAGGTAAGCCTAAACTATCAGTTCAGAGAATCTTCAGTGTCTTGCACTGCACTGAGAACCTAAATTGCATATACAAAAGAGAAAGTTTTATGTTTATTTCTACAGAACTTTGATACAAATTCTTGTTGTTACAGAGCTTTTTTCCAGATCATATGATATCTTTTCCAAGTGAGACCAGTGCAGCTTTAAGCCACTCTGGGATATTACAGGTATGTAGTCCTTGAATGAAGATGAGCCAGCAGTACTCAGAATTTCCTGTTATCTGTATTGTGCAAGTATAGTTCCTTATTGCTGTTGGATCTGTTGCTAGGTTTTGAATAACTCAAGACAGGGTTAATAACTTTTTCCCTCAAGAAATATGAAATTATGTGTCCTTTCCAAGCAGCTATCCACACTTGGAAACTTGGACATCCTTTAAGAATCAGGAAGCACCAAAACAGAGAAAATACAGTGAAAACATTAAATACCTTTTTTTGGGTATTTCAGATGAAAGACCCTTTTTCCATAAATAGCTGGAGTGCTGAACAAACTTAGCAACAGGCTATGGTAGAATACCAAAGAACTGGTGATGTGACACAAATGGATAGGAAAAAGAGTTAAATGGTTAAACTTAACGAGTAAAAAATTTAGACTGACTAGTATGATTTGTTAGCTTGAAAGCTACTGTAGCTGTCAAAAAAAATTATGGTAGGTCACTCAGAGTTAGTCATCTTTTGAGCAGACACAAGATTCTAATTTACAGTGGGAATAATGAAATGATAATACAGAATGACCATATCAGGGATCATCGTCTTACTTTCAAAGAGGGGAAAAATGAGTAATAAAGGTGGAAACATACACATCACTCTTGTTTGCTTGTCATTAGAAAAATTAAATCATAGAAGAAGAACTTCCACTAGTCTTAAGGAAGTAACCCTATGCATGAGTTTTGAGGATAAAGAATGATTGGAAAGGCAATATAATAACACAGGATATTTAGGGCAGAAGCAAAAGAAACAGAAATTGCGATTTTAAAAAGATCTATATGATAAAGTCTACCTTAGTATCTACCAGTAAATGAAAACCATTTTAGGTTACTAATTCACAAAGCATTCCTTCATATTAAATAGTTATATCCTTATAAAAGTGGATGTTAATCAAGATGTTAAGATTATCCCAAATATAGTAAAAAATTTTTCAAATTAAATTTGATACACGCTAGATTCTGTAAGTAATTTTTACAAACCTAGATTAAATTTTTATGACTTCAAAAGTGCTGCAGATCTAATGAAAATTGTTTCCCTTTTGCCACCTACATAACACAGATTTTGCAGTCTAGCATAAACATTTATTTTAGAAAATTCTGTCCCCTATGTTAATAGAACTTTATATTTTTTGCTCACAAATATAATTCAGTAGTTTAAAAAATGAAGACTTTTATAAGAGAATTATTTGCCATATATTCTTGTACAGAACTTCTTTAAACCCGTATTCTGAGATCTAGAATATATTCAAAGCTGGTAGGTAAGATAGGAATCATTCTAAATATATCTAGTTACTTGCCATTTTGGTAGCTTGAAAAACATGTTTCAAACTCTCCTCTGTTGCTATTCTGTTTTGCATTGTATGTTTAATTGTATTTCTTCAAATAAAACTTAATAGGCACAAAGTAGAGAATACCTTGATGGATTGTGCAGCCATTGTGCACATTTCAGCAGAAATTGTTGGGTAAATTGTTTACAGTGACTCACTATTTCCTTGGAAACTTTCATTAAGACAGGTTAATGGGCTGCATTATTATTTGTGATGTGCTTGGTTAAGTATCAAAAGAGACATTAATTTGACAATTCAGTGCTTACAGTGATTAAAAAATCTCTTCTGATACTTTTGCATTCTTTTCTGGATTGAGCTATAAGCAAGTAAAATGTTTTCAAGGTCTGTTTTCTTCACTCTCATTGAAAGTGGAAGAGTGAGTATTTTGGCAGATGATTTTGAATCAGAAAATCTTTGTAGAATAGAGTCATGAAAACAAAAGAGAAGTTAATCTGTCTCCTACCCATTTAGCATGTGCTAAGTAAAAGTACCAGGTCTAGGATATACTGAATGTCTGCATATACCAAAGAGAGAGGTTTAATTGCTGCCATGAAGATCTTTAGCCTACAAAAGTGGTTTGGTCAGGATATAGCTGCTCTGAGGCACAACACTGTGTGTATGTCTTAGTGGTAGGCAGTCTGGGTCATTTGGAACTTGCCTAAGGCTATTTTTGCAAATTGGATGTTTTAAAATATGTCCAAAATGAATGTAGTATGAAGATTTTAAGATCATTATTAAGAGCCAGGCTTTCATTTCTTTAATCTCTCTGCTGTAGCAAGTCCTTCTTTCCCTAACCAGTTTCTCACCTGCCATTCTGGGCTTCAGGCTGAAACAGCCCTGAACTGAAATTCATTCTCTTGTCAATCTCCTGGATATTGTTTTAATCTCTCCACTGCCTTACTCTGTCTTCCACTCTAGGTTTTGTTGGCCTCCCAGTCTAGACCTGTCAGGTGGACTGAAGTCTATAGGAGACAATAATGAGATTCAGAATCAATTCTTCACTAGAATTACTTTGGGCCCCCAAAATTTCTCAGCAGGTTCAGGGTAAAAATCCAGTTCATTCCCAGTAGTATTGATATGGACCATGGTTAGCTGTAATCACATCTTTGAAGAAATCAGTCATCAAATTCAACATGATTCACAAAGTCTTAGATGGCTTCTTTAACTCCCCAAAACACTGCATAAATGCTTAAGAAGCATCCACCTTAGCAGATATTATTGTTGTTTCTGCTACTGCAGCCATTCTTTCATTGAAAATGTTGATGTAGATAAAAAAGTTTTATAGTTAGGAGTGCCAGTGACATCTGGGATATCTGCATTTTCACTGTCATTTTATTCATGTGAGACAATGCAATGTTTTTCCTATTCTGTTGTTTTTTCACTTTCTGATTGATTTGATATTTTGTTTATTTCTTTAGGGGTTGTTTTGGGATTTTTTGCAACAAAATACTTTTATTTGCTTTGTTTCGTGTTCAGATTGGTTTTAAATTAGTTAGTTTACATCTAATCAGATGGTAATCAAGTCCTAAGGGCTGTCTATATCAGTATATGAAAGACGTGGTGGCATTTGACACCACTCTACTTATCAGGGTATATATTTTACTGTGAGGAACAGGATGCAAGTTTATTTGTGCATATTGTGTGACCAATAGTCCCTGTCTGCGGCATACTATCATTTAGGTCTCCCCTCTTCTTCCAGTATTGAGGATTTTTCTTATTTTTATCTTCATGAACAGAGATCTGTTCCCTCCTATAACAAACTTGTATGTACCTCCATTAAAAAAAACCCAACACGACAAAAGAGCAACAAAAAAACCCCAACAAAAAACAACCTGAAACAAAAAACAACCCAAGGAAATTTTCTTTTCTACTATCATTCATTTTTGGCATTTATTACAGACATTCAGTTCTCACTCTGAAATATTTTTACTGCTCATCCTTCTGACAGTTAAGGGTTTTTACTACAGCTTGTTCATGTTCTATTTTTTCACACAGTCCTCAGCTGTCTTAGAAAAGAAAAGATGGATTTAAGATTGCCTTTTTCCTAGCATTACTGCTACTTTATTTTAATTGATAGCATGGGTACAACAGTGACTGTCGAAGCTTAGCATTGTATTGCTCCTCCACTTTGGTCTGCTGAGTAAGAGAAGTGTTTTTCATGACAGAATTTCTGGTTTGAAGCTCTTATGGCAGAAATCCTAGGGAAGACACTTGTGCAGGCAGGAAGCCAACCACTCCTTTTAGTTTCAGCAGAGACATTAAAGCCTAAAAAGATGCTCTTTTGTTTTTTCATACATTGACTCGTTTATATTTTCCTAAGGCTTGCATTTGACTTTGTTTATGGATTTTATACTTTTTCAGTTCAGCCTGTATATTTCCCACCAGTGAACCTGTTAGTACGTGGCAAAAGGGAAGATTAGCAGCCGGGACACGTATCAAGATCTACCCGTCTGCTTCAGTGTGGCTAAAATAGCTTAAACTGCATTTGCACACAGCTGTGTGCCAGCAGCACATGTAGATAGATGTACCTAGGCTTACTGTAATGGAACTGTTCAGGTGAATAGCTGTGAAGCTGCTCATAATGCAGTCCTGGTGGTGGACTGGGGCACTCCTCTGGCCAGTGGAGCCCTGCTCGTGTTACTGCATTCACACCAGCTCAGGTTGGTCTGCAGCTGGTGCAGTCATGCATCTCACTGCAAGGCAGGAAAATAATGAAAGTTAAAGAAACCTTGTACATCTTGGTTGAACTGTATTATTTAGTGGCCAGAGAACTTGGTATGCTTCCAAAATCACGCTCACTTTTTCATTCTGCTGGAGCCCAGTAGTAACCAGTCCATCTCTTGCCTTGTAATCAGTTTTTTCACTCCTCAAATAAGATTTTCTGGAAAGAGAAGTGGGTAGGAGGAAAATTCAGCAATGAAAACTACAGATATCAACCAGAAAATCCTTCGTGCCATACCTCTATATAAGCCTTGACAGAATTTATGATACCATAGACCAGTCCTGGGGCAAGGTTTCTTGAAGACCTCAGTGATAACAGATTCTGTGGAATATATGGAAATAGAAGATTCTGTATTAGTATGTTTAGAGTTATAGTTCTGAGTAGTGTTATTGGAAGAAGAGTGATAAAATTGTATGCATGGAATTATGGTGAAGTTAACATGGCTGCTCACTTTTAGTGGGTACGTTTGCAGACTGAGTAGAAGTGTCTAAGCCTCAGCAAGATAAGAGCTGTGTTGCACTCTTGACAATGTCTGATGAAATGGCTGAAGAGAAGTCACTGAATACCCTGAGTAGAGGCAGGAGCTGTCTTGGGGACTGGCCCAGTCTCTCTGGTTTTTGTTCAACTAAAGCTCCTCCTTAAGCACCTTTCAGGTGCAGAGACCTTTATTCTCTCCTTTTGAAAATGCTAATATCTGCCTGACCTGCATGGTTTTGTAATTCAGAGTTGTGGTTTGCTGAATTACTTTTAACTCAGGTCAGTTAATTTCTCTGGTTTTTAACATGGTGGGTGAGGGGAGGGACATAATTTTTTTCTTCTGTTGTTAGCACTGATTAGCAGTTTTATATAAATAGGATCTGAGGCATGGGATCAGTACTTCTTACACTGGCTTCGTTGCAGAAGTTCACATACTGCAGAAGTAATGCTCTCATTTCAAACCATATGGTTCCATATAAATATGTAACTTGCTTAGCATACCTTGGAGTTGTGTAACATTCTGACATGCCTTAAATCAAAGGTACTGTTAATGGGATTAGATGCAATCACAACTGGATCATTGTGGTGTGATAGTGTATTTAGGAGTTATTCTCCTTAGTCCTGTATATGTTAATGAAACACAAAGCTGGTTTCAGAGGAAAAGAAAAATGCATGTCTGATAATTTCTTTCAGATGTTCCTTAGCTCCAGCACATATCCTGAGATTCATGGTTATTTGCATGCAAAGGAGCAGGGGAAAAAATCATGGAAAAAATTGTACTTTCTTTTGAGAAGATCTGGCCTTTATTTTTCCACTAAAGGTACATCTAAGGTAAGGGAGGAAAAAAAAAGAGAGAGAGCAAGAAGTGTGAAGTCAGAGCAAATATGTATGTATTTATCATTTGTTGTAATAATAACCCAAATTTATAACCAAGTAATTAAACTTATAAAAAATGAAAAAATAAATCTAATTATTATAGGCAAAATCTAGAGAGATATGGAGATACAAAACTGGCAAGGTGTTGTCTTTGAAACTGCAGTTTCTTTTTCCCTGATAAATTTGCTTCATTCTGGTTGATATTTCTCAGAATACCCTGTTAGAATGAATTTTCAAATACTGTTAAATTTCTGAAGTATAAGTAGATGTTCTGAAAAGTGGATATAGTAATTAATTATATAAAGTAAGAATTTGTACAGGAGAACTTCAGGAATTCTCAAAGTTTGTCACTGGAAAGTTTTTAATTTTACTAGTTCAAATTTTGATGTTGTTTCTTTAAGCCTTATCATATTAAGCATTGGAGTTGAGAAACCTTTTACATAAACTACTCAAACCAATGTTTATTCATGTTTTGGATTTTCTGTAATTACCTTCCAAACTTTTCATTGAGCTGGTTTGTAGCCTTTAGCAAATTTATTTTGTTTGCTTCCTTGACATAATTAACCTTAGCAGTAGAGATAATGGTTAGAAATGGTACTGGGCAATAATTATAACAGTATGTTTTTTTTCAGTTTATGAAAATTTATTTTTTTTGATGTTTGAAATGCATACTGCTCTCAAAACTTGCCTCCTACTCTAATTTTACTATTGCTTGAATCTAGTAGAAGTTTTCTCAGAAATTATGTAACTTGTACTTGTACTCTGGGCTTTTTTCCCTCTCTAGAAGAATAAACTCTAACTGATATGATTTTTTTTTTTTCCTTTGCATTATGAAATGTATATTGAGTTGCCTCTTTTTAGATTTCATGATGTCATGGTTAAAACTGAAGTTTGTAAGTCTGTGTTTTGGAACAGGATAACTACTGTACTCTTCCAAGTTTCTTATCTGGAGAGGCTAGCTAAAAGTAGTCTAACTGTATTACATTACTTTTCTTTTTAGGAGCCAAGGCATCTGCAGTTTTTCTGTGAATTCAGCAATAGTGATATGTACATGTCTTTAACAGGCAAAAAGATTTCTGGAGCACCAACAAACTATGGATTCTGCTTTAAGGTACAAGCTTATTATTCTGATACATATTAAAGCAAGCCAGAGTCTTTAGGTAAGCTTAAATTTCTTTAAGGCTTTGAAAGCAATACTCAGCTGTCTGTTATAAAATAGGAGAATTAGTGGCTTTTATTTCAACAGGTTTTATCTTCAAGATATGCTTTAATGCTAAAAAAATGTGCTGTGGCCTTCTAGCCTAACAAATCAGGAGGAACCAGAGACCTGAAACAGCTCTGTGCAGATGATGAACAAAGTAGGACCTGTTGGATGACAGCAATTAGGTTACTCAAGGTAATTTTTCTGTGTGGAGTTAACTTCTTGCTTAAGTGTGCTATGTGATATTTTGGTGCTGTGAGTAGAGAGGTAACATCATTTTAGGTTCCCATGCAATAACAGTATCAATTTTGTATTTTGAAAGCTTTTTTTTTTCATCCCAACAAGAAGAGAGAGATCAAATCCTAGAATCATTGTAAGGGATGGAATGATGCCTCAGTCCTGAAAATATTTAACATTAAGTATGAGTTTCTGTGTAACCTTGTTGAATTCAGTGAGGTTGCTGAGTAATGTTGAACAAAACAAGAAGAATACACAAGAAGGGAACTTTAATGTTTTTAAAATGTGACTATTTGTGACAAAATAGGAACAGGCCAGTTGGCATGTTAAATGGGTAGTATTTAATGCAAAGTGTACATTTATAAAGGCAGCAGCAACAATGATGATGTACATTTCCTTAGCCTAACAGCTTTTGTCCCTGGTTTTTAATGGTAAAGAAAAGCGTATGCTCTCTTTTTCATCTGGGGAAAAGAACCTTACTTGGCTTAGGTTTATAATTTAAAATGCTAACCATGTTATTTTCTGGTTTTAGTATGGGATGCAGCTGTATCAGAATTACATGCAACCATATCAAGGTAGAAGTGGCTGCAGCCCTTTGAATATAACACCTATGGTATGTCCCACAGTAGCTCCTGAATAAATACGTGTTTCTGCCATTGTGCTCTTTTCAAGTAACTTGTGTCAGTTACCCTACTGACCTGCTCCTTCCAAACCTTGCATGTGCGAACGCTTGCCGAAATATTTAGGGCTGCCAGGGTTGACTAGACAGCTAATTAGTTAATTTCCTTACTTAGAACAAAGGGGATAAAAGACTTTTCCCTTTGCAACATCTTCAGTATTTTGGGAGTTCATTGGCTGATTACTGTTGAATGGAAAGAAGATTTTGAAAACAAAGCAGCAGAACTATAAATGCATTAAAAGAGAAGCAACGTGTTCAAGGTTACACATGCTGATGAATAAGAATATTATAACAAATCCTTTTCGGTATGCTTCCTCTTTTAATTTAAATAAAAAAATAAATAATTGAGATTAATTTCAGCTGGTGCAATACTGACTGGACTTCAGAGGAAGACCATAATTTGGCAGATGGTCTGCCCTGTTTTGGAGAAAAAACAGCCTATACTTGATATTGTATCTATCTTCTCAGTCAGGTAGTTAGGATTGGATGAGGTTGTCCATTTCTTAATATCTTATGTTATCCCAGCTCTTTATGAGTAATTTAATTTCAGACTTTTTCATGGATGATTTATATCCCTTTTGTGTTTTTTGTTGGCTAAATTGGGTAAAAATTACTTGTTGCTGAGATCTGTGATAATGATTTTATGGTGATTTTTTTTTTTTAGCTTTTATTATAGTTCTTGCTGATAAAATGCTTAAGAAATGCATTTGCTATCACAGGTATTCACAAAAGTAGTTTTCAGTGATCTTGCTAATAAGCATGGCTTATTAAGCATGTGCTTTATACACTGCCCATGTCTTGGTTTGTGTTATGTGAAGCTACTGCAATAGCCAGCTGCTGCTCTTATGATGGATCAGGGAACCATTACTCATTCTCTCTTCTTTCACTGTTGTGCATTTTAGCTCCCATAGCTTCTAACAGGCAGAATCTCTACCCACTGCTAACAAAGGCACTGTTTTCTACTTGTGTATAATTCATGAGTTAAACAGCAAATTGAATAATCTGGGGATTAAGTGCACACGCTAATGAACATACTTAATAAGGAAGCCACTTTTCACATTCCTTAATTTCTCAGCTATGTCAGCTACAAAGAGTTCTAGAGGCAAAGATTTTATCTTAATTTTCCCTTTTTTTTTTTACCTTTGCAAAGTTTTTTACAGATTTACAGTTACTCAGATAGAACTTAGTCTGCAGTGTCAAGAATTACAGTGAACTACAGAATTGCTGTCTTCCGTTTCTACTTATATTCATGCATATAACCAAGCAAAAAAAAAAAAACAAAACAAAAAAAACCAACCAAACAAACACCAGAACTGCTCTGGTTTTGGACTGGGAAGCTTTGATAACCCTATAGAAATCTGGGCCTCTTGTGTCCAGATGTTGCTTTAACTTACAGAGTACTAGAATGCTCTTTTATTTATTAGATATTCCAGTGCCTGCCAACATTTGAGCCATCACAATTCTTATAAAACCTGTTTTTGTAAACCTTGATTTCTGAGAAACATTTTGGGGATTTTTTTTAGGACTGTTTTGTCAAACCTCAGTGTTCTTATTCAGTTGTTACAAATTTGATCTTCACTGAGAGAAAAAAACACAAGCATTTTTTTGTAACAGATGCTGCAGTTATTCAGTCTGTGATTAGAGTTAGAAGAGATGTATTAAAATAGAAGTTATACTCCATAGAAATTGCCGTTTTCAATGCTTAAATATGGTAAACTGAATGGAAATTTGTATAGCAAACATATAAATCTGACATATTTCTAAGAAATATTTTTAATATTTTTTATTTTGATCATTATGTAGAATATTTTTGTATTTTACCGTTTTTCCCCTGTTGCTTGGACGTCTTAATAACAGTTTCCTGATTTGTTTTGACATGGAAAGGGCTAGTTATAGTTAAAAATAAAAATACAGTTTATGGTAAAGTGATGTATTTGTCATCCATTGCAGTAATGCAAAAAGATGGTCTGTCCTGCCAGACTGTAAAATTCAGCTTTGCAGCAGCATACTGGAATTACAAATGCTCCCTAGGGTAAAATGAGTTTGGCTCTGATGGGAAACACTGCCAATACTTGAAATATCATTTAAAAAACATAATGTTTTCTCAGAAGCTCACTTCTAAATGATGAATCTTGTAAAAAGTGAGCAGACTAAATTTATTTTTCTTTGTTGCAGAGAAGCATTTCAGAAAATTCTTTAGTAGCAATGGATTTCTCAGGACACAGAAGCAGAATTATAGAAAATCCAACAGAAGCCCTTTCAGTTGCAGTTGAAGAAGGATTAGCATGGCGGGTATAAACACCTTTATCAGAATAATATTTGCTGGTTTGGTGGAGTTGCTTTTTTTGTGTGTGTGGAGGGGTTTTTTGTGTTTTTTTTTTGTTTGTTTTTTGTTGGTTTTGTTGTTGTTGTTTGGGGTTTTTTTTGGTTTTTAGGTTTTTTTGTTTGGTTTGGTTAGGTTTGGTTTATTTGTTTTTTGGTTTTTTTATTTTTTATTTTTTAACAAAAGAGCTTTGAAGTCATGTTTTTGCTTCTCTCTCATACAGAGGAGAGGGTGTCTCCGACTCAACTCACATGGTAGTCCTGTTGCCGTGGCTAACATGGGTATGTGTGAGTTAATTCCTTGCCAGAGAAATGCAATAACTGGTTCTTTCAATGAAGGGAAAATGTTTTTTCACTGATCTTTATTTCTGCAGCTATACACAGATCTCAGTCATGGTTTCATCATAAAATCTCTAGAGAAGAGGCTCAGAGACTTATTTTGCAGCATGGACTTGTAGATGGGTAAGTTAATTCTTTACTTAGCTTCTTGGAGACAATGTTTCTGGCCAACTGTGCCTCTTACTGGGGGGAGGTGGAGGAAGTAGTTTGCACTTACCTAATAGGAATAAAAATTCTTTTATATAAGGCTATCTGGGGATCAGTTGGTTCCTATTTTATATCATTTGGAAACAGTGAAGTGGTGATCTAAGACTTTGATTCTGTCACTGACCCATTACTTCTGTCTGTTCAGAGCCAAGCACTAGAGCTGTGCCTTTGCACAGGATTCTCTGGGATCTGTCAGCCTTGGCACCACTGTCGTTTGTATCTCTATTAGTGTTGAAAGAGTGAAAGAAAGCCTGAAAACAATAGTAAACAATAAATGTTAGGCTAAAACTTCAATTTTTAAAATATTTAATTTAAATATTAATTTAAAAATTGCAAAGCAAGTAAGTATTTTATGTTCAAATCGTCCTGCTTTTCATTCCTGCATCTATATTCTTAGTCTTGTACTAAATGTAAACTTGAACCTTCTTCATTCAATGAGTAATTCCATTAAAATCTCAGTTTCTTTGAGTCTGTTTCCAGTTAGGTACCTGGAACATCAGATTGCTGGTTAAATTCCTTCAGCTTTAGATGAAGTATGTTGTAGTATTGTTTTCTACATCTACAGGAAGAGCTCCAGGAAAAAAAAAAAAAAAGGGAGGAAAGGGAGACAAACCCAGTCATAATCAGCACAGAGATGGTTAATTGGACTTCCACTTTCATATTTTTAATTTTTTAAAAATTTCTAGGGTCTTGTTTTTAAGCCTGGCTTATCATCTTGAAACTGATTTTGTGCTCTGCATTTATTTTTGCATTTGTTAGAAGAGTGGGACAGGACATGGGGATGAATCCAACATACATTTCTGAGCAGGATGTCATTCTAGGCCTGATGCATCTTCTGGCGTATTTGTTACACACACTGAAGTGAGAAAGTGAATACTAGCATTGGTTTAGTAGAGTGTGGTTTATGTTTTATTCTTGGAGCCATTCATGGCTGTGCAGTGGGATTTTGAGGACGATGATACATTTGTGTGGACTGCCGAGCATTAATTCAACACTGATAGTAGGAGTGTTGATATGCTGTCAGATCCATATTCAGGAGATACAGTGAAGTAATGAACACATGACATCATGTAACATCATTTTGATGAGCTAAAAGCATGAATTATTCTGGTTAATTCTATATTAACCAGGAATGCAGCCATTTTTAATGGGAAAAATAAGACTTTACTTTCTGGGAGTGAGTGCAGCGAAAATAATCTATATTGATCCTTTTAAGGTGATCCCGAGCAAGGAGTTCTCAGGCATATATGACAAGGGAGTAGGACCTCTGTAATGTTGTATGAACCAACAAATGTGTTATTCATGATGGCTTTTAGAAGATAAGGAGGCAATTATAGAAACTAACTATAGTAGTTACAGTATTTGGATAACTCAACAATTAGGGACAGCAGCAATCTTGAGGCATGCTATGAAGGAAGAAAGTTTTTGGATCTGGTGTTAAACTACCTTTCTTTAAAAAATTCTCTTGGTAATATTGTAGATTTTGTATTTTACCCCCTAAAGTATGTTTGAAGACTTTCCAGTGATAAACGGTTGACAGGATTACAAAATCATCAGCATCCGGTTGATGAAAGGGATAAGAGCATTACCAAAAGGCCCATGGAAAGGTCCAACTCATTCAGAGTAGTTCATGGGGGAGAAGTTGAATGGAGTAATTCAGCATGTCTAAAAAGCTCCTTCCAGCCAACATTTCTGAGATTCTGTGAATTACAACCCTTTTTTCATAATAAAGTTTTTAAAGGTTCTTTGACAACTAAAGTAGGTCTATTGTAATTATGTTAGAAAACAATAAAGATCTTTTTATCTGAAGAAGAAGTGTTTCTTATATTTGTGATAAAACGAGGAAAAAAGTAAGAAAATGTACTTTAAAAGAACTGATGAATGGGGACTTAAATCCCAATCAAAGTGATTACATTGTGTATCATTTAATATGGATCCTAGTAATTGGGTGTAGAGACCTCATTTTGGATATCTGCAAAGTGGATTCTTACAGTGCAATTTTTCTGAATGAAATGAAGTGCCAGCCATTAATGACAAATACATAAAATATGGAAGTCAGTACGCAGGGTGTGTGCTGCGGGCTGTGAGCTGTCTCCTTCGCGTCCCGGGCAGGGTGAGCCCGCTAGGTGGTGGGAGCGAGCCGCTCTGAGCGGAGCCCGTGCTGCCGGCGCCCGTCCCTGTCCCTGTCCCTGTCCCTGTCCCTGTCCCTGTCCCTGTCCCTGTCCCTGTCCCTGCCGAGAGCGGAGCCGGCAGCCGCCCTCGGGAGGAGCGCCTTAGTAACAGGGCTCCGAAGTACACTGCACAGGGATTTGGACAGAAATGGTCATGATTATGGACTCCAAATTTATTAATTCCAGATATTTTCTTACTGTGTAAAAACAGAACTCTTAAAAACGTGGAGAATGATATTAGTACTTGGAATCCATGCCAGAAGTCAGTGAAAATTCACTGCAAACCTTTGCCTTGCTTTTTTTTTTCTTTTTATTTTTTCTCCGTTGAAATTCTTTCTTTTTATGTAGTAGCTGGGCTCTCATTTCTGTGTGCAGTGGGGCAAACAATTATGAGTAGGTGGTCACTAATGCTCACTTGATTGGAAGATGCAAATCCATTTTGCCCATTTCTTTTCTGTCCTGAAAGAGGAGCATGCTTGCCAGTGGCTGTCCCTCCATTTCCCTCCTTTGGTACATTGGTCAGCTGTATCTGTCCCACACCTGTACAGTACAAGCAGTTCAGACTCTCTCCACTCCAAAGCTATCTATCAGGTTCTTCCCTGTCCCCCAAACTACTCTCTGCCAATACTCCAAACCAGGTGATTCGGTGAAAACTATCTCATGTTGGTAATCTTCCTTTGCCTGGACCAAATTATTCTACCAGGACTATGGCAAAGTTATGTTTGTCCATGTTCTGGCTGGAATAAGTTAAATTAGTTGCAGTGGCCCTTTTGGCCATTCCGAGTGTCATGATTTGAATAATGATTCCATAAAGCAAGCAGAGTGTAGCTCTTTCTTGTTGGGAATTTTGCTGCTGTGCAGAAATGAGAGTGCATTTATGAGGATTGGCCAGATGTGAAAAACATTCTGTTGTGCCTTGCATTACCTTTTCTGTAAAATTCCTGTTTAACCTTTTGAATTTTCCTTATAATTCTTGTGATTTAGAAAATTCAAGTTTTCTCTAGTCAGAGTACAAAGAAAAAATTTCAAAGCACAAACTTTGAGGGTGCTTTTCTGTCTGAAGAAATGTATTGTAATTCTATGCAGTGTAAAAACTAACGCCTACAGTGTCATTTATTCTGAGAATGCATGTTTTTCACATAATAGACAAGGTGAAGAAGAATTTAAGTATTCCCAGTGACACATTTGCAGAGAAATACTGATTAAAAGCCTAACTTACATAAATGATATTATTTATGCTTTTCACTAATACTTGCTGTAATGAATTTAGAACAATTTTAACTGGATGTTTATAAAAGTATTTCAGATTATCTTACTTTGAAATTTTTCATCTCTTCTAGGGTATTCCTGGTACGTGATAGCCAAAGTAACCCCAAAACATTTGTATTGTCACTGAGTCATGGATTAAAAATAAAACATTTTCAAATTGTACCAGTAAGTAAGTTTTTCAATTTATATATGGAGTTATAAAACCAAATAATTGAATAACTGTGATAGAATATTGATGGATTCTTTTTCTTTTGCCGTTTTATGGAAGATGTAAATATCATACCTGTATCACTACATATAATTAGTATTCTTTAGTAGAGTTGAATGTTTTTGAGATTTGCAGTTTGATTTATTCTAAAGCGTGACAAGGATTATGAAATCCTAAAAAATTTATTGAAAAACTAAACAAATCTATTTCAACTGGAATAGAAGCAATCCCTGATGGCATGAAAATAATGTATTAATAGAGTTCATGTTTCCTTTTACTTTTCCGTATGTACACAGTTTCTTAAGTCTTCTCTTTTGGACTGCCTCCATCATGTGTCCATATCTCACTGAGTGTTCTGTTCAGGATAGTTTCAATATCTGTAGTCAAATACATTTTATTGACCTCTCTTGTTACTGCTATATATTCATGTATGCGTCTTCTTCAGGGGAGCAAAAAAAAAAATCATTATTTAGTCCAGCTGCTTTATAGGTAAGCTGAAAGTTACTAAGCTGAAATAATATTTCTGTTAGTTTTCATTGAACACACTGTCCAGAATGGTTAGCCATCCCCATTGCTTCCACTCTTTTGTGAGGTGGTTTATGTGGGTTTCTTTACATGCTGCTTCTCATGAGGTGAGAAATACTTGAGCATTTTGTGTTTTGGCCACAGATACTTGACAGAATTGAGCAGACGCAGAACTTTTTTATCTCTCTTGACAAGAACCTTTCTTCCAGACACGTTATACTCTAGCCTCCATGTATCTTCCTGCTGAAGTTTCTAGCAGATTCTGCTGTTTCTCAGTAGAAGTTAGTCAAGTGGCACTATTTTTTTTTGGTCTTTGATATGTTGATTCTCTCTGATCATTCACCAAATTTCTGTATGCCTTACCTAGGGCTTGTAGCTGATACCCTCCACTAAAAAAAGTTCATGTAGAATAAAACTGAAGCATTATTTGAGAGGAGGAAAAAAATCGATCAGATTAGCTATAAGAATTGTCCAGGATTTTGTTGTGTTTAAGTACGGAATATGGAGGATTCCTTCATCCAAAAGTGATAGTTATGCTCTGGATCTCATGTGATCATCAACATATAATCCTTGATAAGAATCCCAGGTGTAAGATCTCTGTGCATTCATTGACTGTAGTCACTTCTAGTATTTACTTTGGTGTAACTGTTGTGTGGTTTAGAAAACCTGAACTCTGTACAAAGAGTGTATGATTCTACTTCATTGGGATGTCCTTTAACTATCAAATTTAAGAGAGCCCTTTTGCTTTCCCTGTCAGGAAACAGACCCTCTCTTCTCTAAGCGCAGGTGTAGCAGGAGACTTCAGTTATCTTCAGTTTCCTCTGAGATGGATTATTCTCTTCTTCCCTTCAAAAGACTGTGCTAAAACCACGCTCTTCTGTTGTGGGATCTTTGGAAGAACCAGGAATTCTTAGTCTTGATATAATTGTCTACAGACTTGGGTCACATTTTCTGTGTTGTTCATCGAGAAGACCTGTACCACTTCATTGCAAAACTTGACTTGAAGGAAATGTTTTTGAATTGTTTTTTAAGTAAAGCAATTTTTCCTATGCTAGTAACCAGAAGAAAAAATTGTGATGAGAAGAATTTAATCCACAGAGAGTGTCTCAGCATGGAAGCTCTCCCCCAAATACTGGCATATTTCAGTTCCTTTCTGTCAGTTTCTGGTTGCATTCAGTACCCTCATTCCATTCTCAATACCCTGACTTAAATGTGCTCTGTTTTTGCTAGAACAGTGCTCTTTAAAGATTTCAGAAAATTGTTGTTTAAGGGAGGAAGGGTTTTGGTTCCAGTTGCTGCTGATCTAAATGAAGTGATCATTTTCTAAAAACAAGGCATTTTGTATTACTGTTGTAAATTCATAGCTTATTAGTTGATGATCAAGGTTACCTCTTGGAATTTCAAATTCTACTGAATTTGAAACTCTTGCCTGTTTCCAGCCATTGTAAAGGCAAAGTTTCTTACTAAATGTAAACAAATAAATGCCGTATACAAAGCCTTTTCACAAGGTAAAAACAATTCAATCTCTAAATGAATTATTTTTCTCTTGAATTTTAGGTTGCTTCAGATTATGCTGCACTTAAAAATGTCTCCTTTTAGATAGGGCACACAGCCTGCTAGTTCACGCCTCCCCCACGTAAAAAGGTGCCAATGTGTTAACATTGGCAACCTGTGCAACAGGTATTGCAGGTGGGTAGTAGGGAATTGATTGTGAAAATTTCAGAAGGAAACCTCTGGAATCCATTTGGGATCCTGTACTGTGAAAATTGGAGAGCTTGTTAGTTTAAAGGTATTTTTCAAAGGTATTTTTATACTCTGAGCTGATGCAAGTCCACTTCAATATATTCTATCCTGAAATTTCATCCATATGAAAGATGAAGAGTTGATACAGAATTCTCTAACTGTCTTTTTTCTAATAAATATTTTCTTGTCACAGCCTTCTTAGCTTGCAGAAGATGCTATGTTCTTGGGCAACAGGACTTTGATATGAATTTTTACTTTGCAAAATATTGATAGCTTTAGAATTAGCAATCTGTCTGGTATTCATTTCAAGGTTTGGAATTAACTTGTTAGGAGGAGAACAGACTTTTGGATTGTTAGCTCTCCTTGTCTGCATTGTGTTGGCAGGAGAATTACGTGCATTAAAAAGTCCAATGAATGATAATCCGTTTTCAGGTTCTTGGCTGGAGCACAGGAATTTACACATTCTCACACTGGTAATTCCTTAACTAGCAGTGTTTGACCTGGTTTGACCAAAGTCTGAGAAAAAGAAATTACAAACTACTTCCAGTAATGGTAGAAAGGGGTAGAGTAACCAGGAGTCATAAGCAGTTCAACAGCTGCTTCAGGCAAAACATCTTAATTACAGGTAAGACAGCTAATTATATCTTCTTTCTTCCTCTGTATTCAAGTAAGGTAGTTGCATCTTTCCCTACCACACCATCTGCTACTCTGTGCTAGCCCTACTTCAGGATTCTCTGTTCACTACTCTTTCAGTCTCATAAAGTATCTTTTTTTCCCCTTTTCTTTTTAAAAATAGTTAGAATCGATTTTTTCATCCTATATTTACATGAATACCAATTAGTCACTATTTCACCAATCCTCTTGATATTAGACATATCAGCAGTAGAGGAACTAAATCAAGAAATTATATAGTCAGCAGTGCAAAACAAATTGTGCAAGAGCTAACATTCAGTAACTTAGAAGAGGGAAATAGTGATTGCAAATTTTTAAGCATCTAGAAGTCAAAAGGAATCTTTCAAGGTATCTGTTGAAGTTTCTTCTTTCTCTTCTGTGTCTCTGCTAATACGTTTGGAGCTGCAGCAATTCTTCCTGCTACAACAAAGAGCTACTAGAGCAAGCATGTAACTCTTGTGAGGGGTAGTGTCTTGTGTAGCTAATACTACCCAGCACACCACTGCACTGGTGTGTAGCCTCATCACACAAAAGTGATAGAAAATCACGGAAGTGAATGGAGCAGAGGTTGAAATCTCTGAGTAACTTCAAGCTTGGTTGCTTTATATTGCTCTGTAAGAGCTCAGGGTTGGTATTAACCCCAGTTATCATTCCAAAGCTAAGGCATGAAGTAGTATTGTTAATGCAGAAAGAGTATTCCTATACTTATTTAACTGTTCTTTCCTTTTAGGTGTGTGCTTGAAGTCAAATAATACATTGTTTTCCTATTGGGTTGTTCTTTGGTGGTTTTTTTTTTGTTTGTTTGTTTTGTTTGTTTGTTTGTTCTGTTTGTTTTTCTGGTTTTGTTTTTGTTTTTTTGTGTAAATGATCACTGTATTTCTTCTGCTCACAGTAGTTGCAAGATTATGAATATATTGGTGTGTAAGAACACTTCTCAAACAAGTATTGCAGTCAGAAGGAAATTCCATAGCAAAAGAGGATTTTATTGAATCTTGTTTTTCCGTTTTTACAGTTGGAAGATGATGGGAAGCTATTCTATACCCTTGATGATGGTCATACCAGATTTACTGATCTCATCCAGCTAGTGGAATTCTATCAACTTAACAAAGGAGTACTGCCTTGCAAGTTAAAACACTATTGTGCACGGATTGCTCTTTAACCAAAGCATTGTTGTTTCATCAAAGGGAAAGGAAGATACTATTATACTTTTTCCCCTAAATTTGTATAGCAAAAAGGGGAGAAAAAATCATTACATTGTAAAGATTCTGTTTAAGCTGCAAAAAAATTAAATAAATTTATATTCTATGTAGATAAGAACTTTGCTTTGTGATTGTCACAGCAAAATTAACTTAATGGTTTTGATAAACCATTGTTTCCAATGTAATTCTTTAGTGTTGTCTTGGACTTTTCTTTTCAACCGAAGACAGTTTTAAAAATATTGTGTAACTCCTACAAAAATATAACTGAAGGAAGATCTTTGTTCTGAGGTTAAAAATTTTTTTCTCTATAAATGTTTCTCATAATTTCTGTTCTTCACATAAAAGAATGATATTTACTGTGGCAAGGATAAGAAGCTGAACTGCACATTTTATTTGTAAATAAAATGAATAAATATTTTGCACTATATTTTTGAATGCTACTTTGAGGATTATCGTATCCAAAAGGTGAAAAATCATTAAAACCACTTATAACTGCTCAGTTGTATTGAGTTGTGCTATTCTTCTTGTAATATTTTAAAGGATTCTTTTCTCTAATCCAATGACTAAATCTACATCTTTATACAGAGCTGGACTGTCACTTATTTGGCTGTGAAATGTATAAACATGCATAAATTATTATGTAGTGCATAATGTCGTTTAGTGTACACGTATAATCTCTGATACAAAGAGAGGCAGAAAGACCTGTTAAGTACTGTGGTTCTTAAGTACTGTGGCTGGGGAAGGAATCAATTTCAATTGCCCTTAAAAATAAAAAGTAATAATAGTTGCAAATTATCAGTAATTTAGAATACTTAGAAATAAAGGTAAATCCAGTGGACGTAGATGAAAACCTCATGAAAGTGTCCCTAGCTTATTTTGTTATTTATTATAAAATAAAAACGTCAATTTAGCTACCAGTCAAGCAATCTTTACAGATTACCAAGTATCTAACATTACTGCTGAAAAGAACTGTGCCAGCATACCAAGTCAAATTTTGGACCACAGCATTACAACTAATTTTGGTATTTGTGTTTTGAAAGAGAGTTGATAGTGCTTTATCCTTGAACAAAAACTCGAGTGGAAGGGGACTTGGGAAAGAGGCATCCCCATCCTAATGCTTTTCTGTCCAAGAGATTTGATCTTGTTATGAGGGCTCAGGATATTGTCCTGGGTGTCTTTACAAAGGGTAAAAGCTGGAGTAAAAGCAGTGTTTGAAGATGGGCCGTCAAACTGAGTCCAGCTTCCCCTTCCCGAGCCTGCTTGAGTTCCCTGACTGGCAGGCACAGCAGCTGCAGTGCTGCAGGAGGAGGAGGCAGAGAAGGTAAAGGAGATCTGGGCGAGGGATGGAGCCAGTGGGCCCGGGGCACAGCCGTGCCAGGATGTGCCAGCGGACAGGGTCACGGACATGGAGGCATTAGAACAGTGTGGTAACTGTAGCCTGTGGTTTTGTTATTGTGCGTCTCTGGAAGGCAAGCATAATAACACAATACTGTGATACTTAATTTACCGACTTGATCCACACATCACTGACCTTTTCCTCTGGTATGCAAATGCAGTTTTTAAAGCTCATTAAAAAAGCGACTCTTCCTAATGTGTACCAAAGATACAACATATGTGGTGCCTAAGCTCATTATATTAGGAAAGCTTTGTAAAACTCTTTACTGTCTAATAAATTTAACTCTTAAACATCAGACATAGTTTCAAATTGTACTTAAAAATAATTTTAATTAAAGTTTCTTCAGGTTTGGTTTGATAATGTGATTACTTCTCAGGTAGTTTAATTTCAGATGTTGGCGTAGAATAAGTAGAAGCATTCTCTGCATCCCTTCTTAAAATCATCTCTTGACAAATGTCTATAGTCAATTGTAGTCCATTTCCACTTGGACATGTGAAAGTTTCACTGTAACTTTTATTTGTATTTATGTATGCTTGGCAGAGAAGCCAACTGCTCAGTGAGTGAGTACATGTCATCTTTGGACCTATCAGAAAAGAAAATAATGTAGGGATTACGTCACATAGTGGAGAGACATTAACCATCAAGAAGCTTTGCCTGCTTTTTCAGTTTTTGTTTCACAAGTGAAATTGAAAAAAACCAAAAAACAAAACTAAACCAAAATAAGAATAATGATATAATAATAATTTTTTAAAAAAAGTAAAATTAAGTATTGTTTAATGGGATTTGGGCATTTGAACTGTCAAATATTCAAAACTTTCTTATACTGCAAATCATTTCCTCCTGCATTTTGACAGCTCTCTTAATTAAAATCTAAACTGAAATGCTGCTGAGAATACATGATCTCTTTTATATGATGTGTATACCTTTCCTGAATTCTACTGTTATTTGTGCCAGAAAAAACCAAACCAGTAAAACAAATAAAATCTAGTTTGCTGTTTAAATGACTTCACAGGCTACCTCCTTGTTTAAATATTACTGGAGAAACAAACATGAAGGAAGTAGTCTTAATGTGTAAGAGCAAAGAACCAAGCACCACCCCTCAAAAGTCAAATATTCTGATATCCCAGACTTCTTCCAGATGTACTAAATGGTACAAGTGGTTGATATATGACTATCAAGATCCTTGCTTGCAACCAATCAGAAAAAAAACAACAAGGAATTTCTATGAGATCAGCCAGGATGTGTCTGACCATAAAGTTCTTTGGGGGTGTAGGCAATGCTGTTTAGACAGAATTTCAGTGTGTTAACTGTCACTTCTAATTAGAAATACTACACTTTGGTGCCCACCTTCACAAAGAGAATTGGCTAAACAGGAGTTGTTAACAGCTCAGGAAGAAATCAGTACTATTTTGGGCAAGCCAGTCTATCTGTCTTCAACATTTGCTTCTTTACAAAATGTGGGCAATTTTATATCTACCTCACAGAATATTTATGGACTGATTTTTAAGGAAAAAAAAACCCAAAACAACAGAACAATAGAAACTGGTGTTATTTGCAGAAGGATTTTGTAATATTTAAATGATACGTTTTTACCTTTAGTTGATGGAAAGTCAGTGCCAAAACACTTAGGCATGAAGCATAGTATTTGAAAAACTGTTCATGTTTTCTTCAGATTTAAAATTTTATGCTTCTCTGAGTGTTCATGGGTAGTGCACTGCCAGGAAGAGAGAAGTGAGCTTGCCATGTGGAGGAACCAAAAGCAGCATAAGTGCACAAGCCTAGCTGGGGTAATTAGCCCTGCTGGGGTATGCTCTGCGAGATGTGAGCTAGTGCAGAGATTGTGCTAGAGCTCAGCATTGTATTTGTTGGCATGCCCTTTGTGCCTTAGTTTCCAATCTAAAAATCTTCTTGGCTCAAAGGAGATTAAAAGTTAATTCACTGCTGTTTCATAACGCATATACATACATGGCCGGAATTAAGGTTGCACTGGCAGCATTAAATTACATTTTTAAATTTCTGAGTGTTTTTACTTAACAATCTTATTAAGTCACTTGAGGAATTTTTTGAAATGTAGTGAGTCTTCGAGTCATCCAGCTAAATGTTTTGAAAGAAAGCTTTAACCCATTAAATAAAAGAGGATTATGTATGTAACTAACTACAAGTGGGATCTTGCAAGGATAATTGAATTTCTGTCAAATGTTGTCTGGTACATCCTGGTTTGAGAATTGTAGCATTTTGTGCTTCCCTGGAGGTAGAATTATTCTATAGTGGGCTCCGAGTATCTCCTTTTAAGTTAAAATCAGCTTATTTCAAGAGAATAGCCTTTTGTTGTTGTTGTTGTTTAAAAGCTACTCATCTTCATCTAAACAGAAGCCACTCATTCACCAATTAGTTTTAACTGTTTAAAACTATTTATTAGCTGTGGCTTGCAAATCAGTCTAGCATTTGTCTGTAAGAAATCTTACACATAAGTTTTGTTACCTTTATTAAATTAGTTTAGAAAAATACAAAGCCATTTACAGCTTACATCAGTGTTTCTATTTGATTAAAAAAAATTATTTTTATTCCTGTTCTGGTATTTCAGAGTACTATTCTAGTACTTTCACTGTAATGCATTCAATTTCTAATTTCAACTTTGTAGCCAAAATCATCGAAGATAGGACATAGCCCATTACTTGAATATACTTGTAAGCTTTCAGAGGTTAAACACTTATGGTCTATGCATAATCAATGTGTATGGTGGTGCAATTAATGTTAACTTTAATGAAATGCATGAATATTTAAAACTTAATGAATCTGACTTTACAGCACGCTTTACAGCCTGGCTCACATATGTGAACAGTATTGACTGTTGGCCTCTGGATGTCAGCAGTGTATCACGAAATTCCTGTAATCAGCCACTGTTTTCATGCTTTCTCCCAGAAATATCTGTGACTTGTGGTCTCTGCACACCTCCAGAACACCCAGTGCTTTTTCCTCTTATAAATTATTCACTTACTCTGTACCAATTAGTTCTACCAGTTGCTAGGTTTGTTATCAAGTTAAGCTTCAAGACAAGAACCTGAACTCAATGAGTGATTAAAAATTTATTAGCAGAGATGATTAAATATGCAGATAGTCTGTGAAACTTGTTCTTGAAACCATTATATTACCTTTTTAATACTAATGATTTGTATAATTAATTTTATAAAAGCCTGAAAGTCTTTTAAAAAAATTCAGAGTAGGACATAAAAGGGAAGAGATTAAATGCAGAGGAGGCAGTGAACCTGAGCATTAAAACAGCTTATTCACATGTATAGGCAATAAAGTGATTCCCTTACAGGAATAGTTTGTGGTTTTTCTTCCCCTCTGCTAAGTTGATTATTTTATTAATCTTTTAAGCAATTTGGGAAAACTCTTATCAACTAGTGAGTCGTATTTTCAAAATAGAACTTGATGCGGTTAGCACTGATAATACAGATGATTCCTCAAAACTTTACAATTAAAACTCTGTCAAGATGGAGATGCAGTTCCTACAACATTTGAGCACATGCTGGATTTAGGCCAGTGAGGAGCCCCAGGGCTTCCATGGGGAGGAAGGTACAGGAGTGCCATTGTACACGGGGTGCCATTGGGCAGCATGGCTGGTGCCAGGCAAAGTTCCTGAGGAGGGGTTGCCCTCACACTGGTCCTGAAGGAAGGGTTGCCCTCACTCTGTGTTCCTGGGGGTGGGAGGAGAGCAGGCGTGTTACAGCTGTGCCCATGGCCTGTTTGGGGTGTGGGCAGCAGGGACTCCCCAGAGCCCACTGTGAGGGGGAGCACCTGGTGATGTTGAACCTACAGGGCTGGCTCAGGAGATCCTCCTTTCAATGGGGGAGAGAAAACAAATTACTTTACTGCCCTTTAAGGGTGTAGCTGGAACAGAAGTCAGTCCTAGGGCCAGGCTTCTTGCCTTCCACGCTCCTCAAGGCAGTAGCTATGGCTGCAGGGAGAGCAGGCAGCTGAGAGCAGCCAAGGGTGCTGACGTGGCACAGCTTTCAGCATCTGCTGGT